TGGGTTGCGACCTCTAGGAGTAAAGTTGAAAAACTGTGACACACTGACATTCACATTATAGATATAGATTTCAATTTACGAAAACATGTAGTTTCAGCATATTTGTTTTGGCTTCCAATGTGATTGTGGCGAGATGGGAGTTCAATTTACATCGCAAACTGGACCTTGTTTTTTTTTTTTTTTTTTTTATATTCGTAAACTGAAGTGCTTAATCTATAAGGATATGGGGAAAAATGTAAAACAAGAGATTATTTCTAATCGTCTTAACTATTTGTATAACTTCAAGGGCGAAATTGTCCTTGGTGACAATAATGATTTGATTTTTAGTAAATATATTGAATGTTGATTTTTAAAAATTTCTTTTCTGTTAAAAGATTTTTATGATAAAGTATTTTATTCTCTATATAATTTAAATACACACACACACACACACACACACACATATATATATATATATATATATATATATATATATATATATATATATGTGTGTGTGTATTTAAATTTTTAAACAATCTCTCTCTCTCTCTCTCTCTATATATATATATATATATATATTTTTGTATTTAGGCAGCAATCCTTTCACGCACATTTCACTGAAAACGACAGACAAAGTGCTTTTATTTAGTTTTTTTGTACAATTTCTCATGCGATCTAATTATCTTTTTTACCCATATTCCCTACTAAATATAGCATTAAATCTACCCATGAATTCCTCCAAATACTTAAAAGCAAAAAAATTATATATATATATATATATATATATATATATATTATTATTATTATTATTATTAAATTTGTTTTCAAAAGATTATTAGAAAATCGTTTGCCTAAGTATTCAAAGTTCCAACCTTGGAAAAGAAAAAAAAAAGAGGATACAAAAAAAAGCCATTTACAAAAAACGAAGGTATTTAAAAAGAAAAAAAAACGAATATATATATATATATATATATATATATATATTTGAAATTAGAACAAAGCCTTTACCAACCAAACTACAACATCAACCCAAGGTTGGAAAATTACAGAGCTGCAGTTTGTCATATATTGAGAACCTGGAAAAACGTGTGTGTTAGTTATGGATGAATACGGTGAGAGTTAGTAGTAGCAGTAGTAGCAGCAGCAGTACTGATGGCGGCCGTTGTCATAGTCATAGCGGTAATTGTTGTTTGGCAGTAATTGCAATGTAATGTCATAAATTTTTTGGGGAGATATTGCAGTGTGGAGCTGGAAAAACAGTTGAAGCAGCCTGGTTAAGGAGGAGTAGGAAAAATACATGTAGTTGCAGTAACGTTGTGCATGGTGTTGTGACGTCAAATACACCATTGCGCGTGCCCGACAAGATGGCAGGCGAGAAGGAGGCGAGAAAGAAGAGACATCGGTTTTAAAATAATGGGTTTTGTGCGAGAAAAAAGGAAATAGCTCAGAGGGTTGAGACAGTCGATCGTTTCTCCATCCATCCTTTGTCGCAGGTGATGGATGTTCTCGCCTAGGTAAGATGAAAAATAAAAATTAAAAAAAAAAAAAAAATCTGAATTTCAATGTCGGTTTCCAAGGTAAGAAGGCTGGCGCAACACAATCTTAATTACTATTAGGCCTTACGATGTGGCAAGTTACTTTAAAATATATTAGCTCCTTGAAACAAAAAAAAGAAATAAATGAAAGTTTAATATCATTAAAAATCTCTTGCTCGTTTTAACTAAATGATATACAATGATATACTTCGATCAATCGTAAATGCCATTGGCACCGTTTCAACCTACGACTAGTGAGTTCGATTCTCACTGGATGCTCCACGCTGTTGGCGTTGTGCCACATTTAAGCTACGTTTAAAAAAAAAACATTTAGAGGCACGAAGACAGGGTCTAATGGTTAGCAAGCTTGTCTCGCTAGAACAATTACGACTGAGTAGTGAGTTTGATCCTCACTGGGTGCCCCATACTTTCGGCCTTATGTCACATCTAAGCTACGCTTAGAAATCATTTATTAGGAAGCTTGTCTCGCGAGAACAATTACGACTGAGTAGTGAGTTTGATCCTCACTGGGTGCCCCATACTTTCGGCCTTATGTCACATCTAAGCTACGCTTAGAAATCATTTATTAGGAAGCTTGTCTCGCTAGAACAATTACGACTGAGTAGTGAGTTTGATCCTCACTGGGTGCCCCATACTTTCGGCCTTATGTCACATCTAAGCTACGCTTAGAAATCATTTATTAGGAAGCTTGTCTCGCTAGAACAATTACGATTGAGTAGTGAGTTTGATCCTCACTGGGTGCCCCCATACTTTCGGCCTTATGTCACATCTAAGCTACGCTTAGAAATCATTTATCATTTCTCGAAACAATTACGGAAGCTTGTCCTCACTAGAACAATTACGACTGCCTAGTCATTTAGTTTGATCCTTACTGGGTAGTGAGTTTATGCCCCATACTTTCGGCCTTATGTTTCATCTAAGCTACGCTTAGAAATCATTATTAGGGCTTGTTTCGCTAGAACAATTACGACTGAGTAGTGAGTTCGAACCTCACTGGGTGCCCCATAATTTCGGCCTCGTGCCGCATCTAAGCGACGCTTGGAAAATCACTATATACAATGATATACTTCGATCAATCACAAATGTCATTGCTTCCGTTTCAACTGACGAGTAGTGAGTTCGATTCTCAATGGCTGCTCCCCGCTATTGGCCTTGTAGCACATTTAAGCTGCGTTTAGAAAATCATTTAGAGACACTTCGACGTGATATAATAGCAAGTTTGTCTCGAAAGATCAGTTACGACTGAATAGCGAGTTCGATCCTCACTAGGTGCCTCATATTTTTGGCCTTGTGTCGCATAGAAGTTACACTTAGAAAACAACCATATATTTATAAAACTTATCAGTTACACTTGTGTAATAAGTTTCTCTTTCACATGGTGCTCCATGCTTTCGGCCTTGTGCCACATCTATGCAACGCTTCGAAAATCATTTAGGGCAATTCGACGTGGTGTAATGATTAGCAAGCTTGTCTCGCTAGTTGAATTACAAATGAGCAGTGAGTTCGATCCTTACTGAGTGCCTTATACATTTGGCCTTGTGCCAAATGTAAGCTACGTTTATAAAAAATCCCCATATACCTATCAAAAGTTTTGTTTGATAGATATCTGTTTCTTGTTGCAAAATGAAATCCCTTTTTTTGTCATTTTAAAGTTCATCAGATGACGAAATGCTTTGTCTACGACACCTTTTTGTATTCTCTCAATTCATTTATTAAAACATACACGATATCTAGAAATAGAAGATATTTCGATGTACATTTAATATTAGATTATTCAATATAATATTAAATTATCTTTAATTAATAATAATTATTTTAAAGTGTATATTTCCAAACAAGAATTACTTTTCTCGAGTTGTCGTTCCATATATACATAATATATACATAATAAATAAATATATATATTTATACATTTTACGTTGTTACACACACATATATATATATATATATATATATATATATATATATATATATATATATATATATACGTTGTTGCATTTAAATATAATATATGCATTAAAAAATAATGCTAAACTCAATAAAAATAAAATAATCCATTTAGTCATTATTTCGAGAAATATGTAAAAAGAATGTGACTTTAGCATTTTTAATATTTAAAATAGCGTTACAGATGGTGATGTTTACTAGATCTTGTTTTGGAATATTAAAATAAAACACCGTAGCACAGCAATTCACATATTTGTAATTTCGAATTGCATTTTTTTTTTGTTTATTTATTTATTTTTTTTATAAAATAAATTTTCACCATCTCTGGTATTGTATCCATATTTCTGAGTTTACACTATTTACATTGTTCGGATTATTCTCCTCGTCTTTATTGCCATAATCACGACGTTTCGACCATTCTATGCTCCGGTCTTCTTCAGTACCTGTCTATATTTCTGAGATTAGGTATTGTAACTATTTACACTATTTACATTGTCTGGATTATTGTCCTCGTCTTTATTGCCATATTCACGACGTCTCAGCCCTTGTACGCTCTGGCTTTCATCAGGTGATATATGTTGGAATACTGAATCGAACACTTTACTCAGTCCACTTGGGTAGAATGTTCTAATTCCACGTGCCATGCCTCTTCTTAATTACCTTTAGTAACAAAAAAACTTGCAGATGTGAGTTACTGATGAGAATTAACTGAAACTGAGAGATAAAAAAAAATAGGTATGGCACGTGGAACTAGAAAAATCTACCCTCCGGGACTAAATAAAGGGTTCGGTTCGAAATTTCTACGTATATCAGTTGAAGAAGGCCGGAGCGCACAACGGCCGAAACATCGAGAATATGGCAATAAAGATGAGGTCCGAACAATGTAAATAGTGTAAATATCTGATATACTAAAATATATAAACAGAGCAGATATATCTTTAAAGTTTCAATTTTATCAAAACTTTAAACGATACAGTTCAAAAGAAAGGAGGTTAATTTTTTTAAAAAATGATTTATGTTCAAAATAACAATACAAATTTCTCACTACGATATATATAAACTAATATTTAATTAATATTGTCAAAAGAAAAATATTCAAATATATCAACGGCAATAGACCAGATGTAGTCTAAAAACTGCCAAAAATAAAACAATAGCGAAAAGAATGAAAAAAAAAAAAAAGAATTAAACTGAAACTTTCAAAACCATGTGTAACTATGTGTTCGGTATTGACAAACTGATAAGGCTATTAAATTGGAGAAATTCGCTTGGAAAATTAATGACCAGAAGAACAGATTAGTGGTTAAGATGGCTGCAAATTTGCAACTGGTACCAGAGATGAAGTAAGGATTTCGGATGTTGAAGAAAGAACTGAAGATCACAATTCTGAAATACTGATTCTTTCTGCTTTTGTTTGACATTATTCTGCATTAGGCGAATATTACTCGGAATTATCCTACGAACATACCTGATGGACTTTAGCATTTATATTTGGATCCATCCGTCTGTCTATCTTAGCCTTTTTCTTTGTTCCTTTTTTATTTATCTATCACCCTTTCTTTCTGTCTTTCTTTCTATGTCGTATCTCGTTCACTTAGCATCTAAGCATCTATCTATCTGCATTAGTATCTATCTCATTTTGATACTACCTCTCTATCTATTAGCATTTATCTATCATAACATGCTTTCTGTCTGTCTATCAAGCTAGCTAGCTAAGTCAGTTTCTCTATCTCATTCTGTTAGCATCTATCTCGTTTTGTTCATATCTATCTATCTAGCATAACGTGCTTTCTATCTATCTATCTATCTATCTAGCATAACGTGCTTTCTATCTATCTATCTATCTATCTAGCATAACGTGCTTTCTATCTATCTATCTATCTATCTAGCATAACGTGCTTTCTATCTATCTATCTATCTATCTATCTAGCATAACGTGCTTTCTATCTATCTATCTATCTAGCATAACGTACTTTCTTTCTATCTATCTATCTAGCATAACGTACTTTCTATCTATCTATCTATCTATCTAGCATAACGTACTTTCTATCTATCTATCTATCTATCTAGCATAACGTACTTTCTATCTACCTATCTATCTATCTAGCATAACGTACTTTCTATCTATCTATCTATCTAGCATAACGTACTTTCTATCTATCTATCTATCTATCTAGCATAACGTACTTTCTATCTATCTATCTATCTAGCACAACTTGCTTTCTATCTGTCTATCTAGCATAACTTGCTTTCTATCTATCTATCTATCTATCTATCTAGCATAACGTACTTTCTATCTATCTATCTAGCATAACGTACTTTCTATCTATCTAGCATAACTTGCTTTCTATCTATCTATCTAGCATAACTTGCTGTCTATCTATCTATCTAGCATAACTTGCTGTCTATCTATCTATCTATCTATCTAACATAACGTACTTTCTATCTATCTAGCATAACGTACTTTCTATCTATCTATCTATCTATTTAGCATAACGTACTTTCTATCTATCTATCTATCTATCTAGCATAACGTAACGTACTTTCTATCTATCTATCTATCTATCTATCTAGCATAACGTACTTTCTATCTATCTATCTATCTATCTATGTATCTATCTAGCATAACGTACTTTCTATCTATCTATCTATCTATCATAACGTGCTTTCTACCTATCTAGCTATCTCATTGTATTACCATCTCTCTATCTAATTCTTTTAACATCTATCTATCAGTATCTCTCTATCTCATTCTGTTACTATCTATCTCAGTCGGGTAGTATGTATCTAATTTTGTTAGTGTCTATCTACCTCTTTCTTTTAGTTTCTATCCTGATCTTTTCATGTCATTATATATGTATATCAATCTTTCTAATTTCTATTTGCTTAGATCTCTACCCTCCATCACATTTTTCTCCGTCTCGTCTCTTTATTGCCATTAATAAATATCTCAACGCCTGCATGAAATCATAAAACTCAATACGTTCTCATTAGATTTGATATTTAAATTATAACCGACATATTCATTTACTTTTATTTATTTATTTAATTTGATTTTCTAATCTGGACGAGAACTTCCTTATCATCATAATCTTCAATTTCTTCTCTCGCCTCTTACTTTCCATATTATACGCCTCGTTCCTTAACCCTCTACTTAAAGTATCTCTTGGCGTCCTGGGTAAGACTATAAACCTCATCCGTGTCCAGGATAAGACGATAAACTGCATCCACGTCCTGGGTAAGACGATAAACTGCATCCGCGTCCAGGGTAAGACGATAAACCTCATCCGTGTCCTGGGTAAAACGATAAACTACGTCCAGCGGCAAGGCCTTTCTTCAGAAGGTTTTGATGATCGTGGAACCACCTCTTAATTCCTGGTGTTTCCAGGTCTACCTTGAACCAGGGTGGTGGCCCCTGCTAGGGTCCCAGCTATGGGCAAATAGTTGATCTGACTCAAAACCTGACTCAAAACACTATGAACGTGTAAAAATAGATTTTAACACCATCAATACTTAAAAAAAAAAAAATAGTATCAGCAATAAATATTTGAAAAAAGATAATATTACCAGAAATAAAAATCTAGTCAGTATTAAATAACCCATTGAGATTAATATGCCACAAAACAAAACAAACTATATATTTTTGAAAAAAAATTATTACCAGCTATACTTTTTTTAAAAAAGAAAATTTTGTCGGCATTAAATAACCCATTGTGGTTAATATGCCGTAAAACAAAACAAAACAAAACCAAACTATACGCCTCTTTCCTTAACCCTCTACCTAAAGTGGCTCTTGAGCGTTGCAAAGTCAACTTTAGTGGAAAACAGAAGGAAATAAAAAGAACATATATTTAATATTTCGATTGTTTCTTTTTTATTCTACTTATAAAAAAAGAAACAGATGAAATATATGAGATACATAGCGAGGAAAGAGGGATTGGAGAATTTGACAGTTAGAAGACAAATGGAAGTCAAGAGGAACAAGAAAATGCTGACTAATTTAGGTGTAAATAGATGGTAGAAAAGAATATGGGAAGGGCAGAGAAAAAACATAAGAGCTATAAAGAATATGAAGTTGTGGAGGGCCATAATCGCACACATCCTGAAGAGACACTACAGTAGTATTCTCTTTTTGATAGGTCGAGAAATTAGGTCGTAAAGTTGCCTCCCCGTGCCTTTTCTATAAATACTTTCATTGTAATTGTTCTGATGAGCTTTTCGACATTGTTATTATGAAGTAATGGATAGCGGCTCGGATGGAGAAATTGGAGAGCCGAGTTCGAATTCCAGTCGGATTCATTACATTCACTTACGTGCTAATACCCTTGGGAAAGTTATGAATCCTCTTATTCCCCCCCCCAGATATGAGTAAATAGCAGGAGAGACCGGGTTCTATAGCCTTGGGTGGAAACTAGTCTACCGCAGAAGGAAAATGGCAACCTACTGCGGGAAAAATCTGCCTCGTCAGTCATGTATCGCCTAATCTTGAATCACGCATGGTACATAACTGACTAACACTTGGGAAAGGTATGAATCCTCTCTCCCCCACACAAAAGCTATGGGTAAATAATACGACAGACCGGGTTCTATAGCCTTGGATAGCAACTGGTCTACCGCAGATAGAAATGCCAACCTACTGCGAGAAAAATCTACCTCGTCAGTCATGTATAGAATGATATATGATCGCCTAAGCTTGTATCACGCATGGCACGTGACGGACTGACTGGAGCCAAAACAGACAAACTCATAAGATGTGATTTCTTAAAACGTAAAAACACAAAAAATGATCTCAATTTTTTGAGAATCGTAAGAGACTTGAAACAACAGCAATGGGGTTCTACAGAAGGATGCTGAGAATACCATGGACCGAGCATGTGAACAACAGCGAAATTTTAGAGGTAAATGGAAGCAAAAAGGATACTTATACTTAACATCATAGCCTTGGATGGCAACTGGTCTACAGCAGAAAGAAATGGCAACCTACTGCGGGAAAAAAAAACTGTCTCGTCAGTCATGTATCTTTCGATACCTGATCGCCTCAGCTTGGATCACATAACTGACTCTTATAATCCCCCCTCCACCACCACAAACAAGAATTTTACATATGTGGACTAGTTCGGACTCTCGTAGAGATTCTGTAGTATTATGGTGGACATAGTAAAAATGGTATGTAAGAATGCATTCTTGTAGTCTAAAGAATATTGTAGTATGTTTGGTTTGGTTTGTTTTCTTTTACGGCATATCAACCTCAGTGGGTTATTTAATGCCGACAACTTTTTTCCTGGTAATATTTTGTTTTGTCAAAAATCTATTTCTGGTAAAAAAATTTTCCTGAAAAATCTATAGCTGGTAATATTATTTTCAAAAACGTATTGCTAGGAATATTTTTTTTCTTCAAAAATTTATTTCTGGTAATAATTTTTTTACAAACTAATTCTGGTATTGAAACGTATTTTTACACTTTTATAATGCTTTTAAGCTCAGTTTCGGGGTCAACTATTTGCCCATAGCTGGGACCCTAACAGGTGCTACCACCCCGGACCAGGGTGGATCTGGGAACACCAGCAATTAAGAGGTGGTTCTACGTTCCTCAAAACCTGCTGATCAGAGGCCTTGCTGTTGGACGTAGTTTATCGTCTTACCCTGGACGCGGATGTAGTTTATAGTCATACTCAGGACAGTATGTTTGGATCAGTGATTGTGGTTAGCTAAATTTAATTATAAGACCGAAGAACACCAACCTCTTTCCCCATTCCTTATGATGGCCTTGTGTCACACTTTATATTTTTATGCAATTAGATGTCGCGCTTCGCCATGCTAACTAGATTTTTTTTTCAATTTAAGAGCAGTACAAAACTGGCGTCGAAATCTTATCAATTTACAGATGAACTGTCGAGATGTAACCGTAAATTCTATGCTAACAGTTTCTTTTCTCGTACATCTCGCTTGTGGAATTCCCTTATGACTCCATGCTTTCCAGCCAACTTTAATCTGAAAAAATTTAAATGCAACGTCAATCGCTATGTACTCTTCTCCCGGTTTCTCTTTCCTCTTCCCGCTCATTATTAATGTTTCTGTTCCTAATTCATTCATTCCCTGTAACCCCGTGTGCCTTAGTGGCTTTATTGCCTTACATGGGGTGATACCAATTTAAAAAATAAAATAATATAAATAAATAAGTTTTGCTAATGTCATATATTCACATAATGTCCACGTATATGTTAACGTTTTTTGTTTTATTTGTTTTTTTGTTTTTTTTTGTTTTTTTGTTTTTTTTTAGCTTTCATGCGTTTCTGTTACAGGTCCTTAATTAAGCCTATTTTTTGTTCTACCTTTTTTTTTTCTATTCTTTTAAAATTTTTAGATGTTTGCTCATCAAAAGCAATCTGTCATCCATGTTCAATAATTTACTATTAGACTGATACAGGCATATTTATAAACAACGTCTTTTTTGTTTTTTAACTTACATTTTTTCAAAGTGTTTTTTTCCTGACATTCTCTGAATTTACGTCATCAATTAACTAAATTGTGCTTTCTATCTTGCTTGACAAAAAGGTTTCCAGCAATTTTTAGCAAAATTTCTTACCCGCATAAATTCATGCCACCATTATTGAGTTCTCAAATTAATATTCCTGGCATTCTACGTCATCTTTAAGGCTAAATTGTCCATTTTATCTTTTATATAAGGTTCCGCTACGATTGTCACTGGAACCGTGGAACACAATACTACATGCCAGATGGTAGGGTCATTAGTAATTAAAACCAGTTCCACCACCAGGCTTTTCTGGTGAGGGGGTGGGCCTAGACATCAGTGTCCTGGGTAAGACGATAAACTACATCCAACAGCAATGCCTCTGATCAGAAGGTTTTGAGGAGTGTGGAACCACCTCTTAATTGCTGGTGTTCCCAGGTCCACCCTGAGCCGGGGTGGTAGCACCTGTTAGGGTCCCAGCTATGGGTAAATAGTTAACCCCCAAACTAGGGTTAAAACACTATGAAAGTGTAAAAAAATATTTTTTAGTGCCAGCAATGA